CCTCAGAGTTTGTGTTTTTAACAGCGCATGAATGCTTCTGAAACAAAAAGCTTTGTTAGAAAGATTTTAGGCACCATTATTTAAAGGCTATGATTTCTGGGGGCAGAGGAGCCCCTGAATCATAAAATAAATAAATGGTCAGAGGGACGTGTTTTCCTGGAAAGCCCTTATCCCTGGAGAGTTTGCTCACTGGGCTGCTGGAGGCAGGGGAGCCTGGCACCCCACTCCCCAACTAACACAGGCAGATCCCCTCCTTCCTAAAGAAAACTCCATAACTTCTCTCCCATTCATGATCTTAGCACCCCTCCTTACTTTCTCCAAGACTCCAACAAGCATTTTCAGTATTTTATGGCGCAAGTGAGCTTAATTGTATGGATAATAATAACGCCTCCGACTATAAGTATCTATTTACCTTCCATGTGGACACTTCTCGTTTCTGACTTGCATTCTCTGTGAATAAAGCCATTATTCACTGGGAGTTGACTTGATTGATTTTTAAGTACGTTATGAACTGGCTTCCCTAGTAGTTAGTGTTTCATACAACCTACCAGCTGTGTTTTTTAAAAGTTTTTGTTTGAGTAACCTCCACACCCAACGTGGGGCTTGAATTCGTGACTCCAAGATCCAAGAGTCGCTCACTATTCCTACAGAGCCAGCCAGGCACCTCCCCCACCCTTACAAATCTTTTTTTTTTTTTTAATTTTTTTTTAACGTTTATTTATTTTTGGGACAGAGAGAGACAGAGCATGAACAGGGGAGGGGCAGAGAGAGAGGGAGACACAGAATCGAAAGCAGGCTCCAGGCTCTGAGCCATCAGCCCAGAGCCCGACGCGGGGCTCGAACTCATGAACCGCGAGATCGTGACCTGAGCTGAAGTCGGACTCTTAACCGACTGAGCCACCCAGGCGCCCCCGACAAATCATTTTTAAAAACATTTCGGTGAATTCTGTAAGTCTGTCTCTGACCTGTATACTAAAATGCCATGCCATCTTTTTTATGATTTAGGGGCTCATCTGCTTTCACTTCATCAACAGGACAATCCCTGTTACTATTAAAATCAATGTTATCAGAGAGGCCATTTTTGCTCTGTACTGTTGAATAACAATATTTTGCTATTTTAACGCATAAGGGTTTCCCCCCCTATATGCTTCTTTTAGCCCATGACCCTTTTCTCATGCAGATAGATAGATATTCTGTGTTGTTGCCTCAGAAAAAAGAAAACACTCAGAAAGCAGAGAGAAAAAAACAATTCTTGGCATTAGAATTTCCAAAAGAGGAGAAAGATTTCAAGTATAAACAGTAGATTTGGGAGAATACCTACAGGAAAGTGAATTTTCCTGCCCACCCCATCCTTCTAAAGAGTATATCAAATTTTCCCAAGCCTGGGGAGAAAGGAGGTTATGTTAGAGAGGAAGCAAGGAGCAAGATGTTAGTGGGGGTCCTTGAGAAACAGGGGCTCTGTACTCTCCCCCGCAGCTCAGAGAGGCAGCAAGAAGCAGGAGAGAAAAGGCTGGGTGATGTTTTAGTACGCACGTCTATCCAAGTAGCATAAGGGAGGAGGTGAACAAATCCCAGCCCCTATCAGTCGGTTAAGCATCCGACTTCGGCTCAGGTCATGACCTCGCGGTCCGTGAGTTCCAGCCCCGAGTCGGGCTCTGTGCTGACGGCTCAGAGCCTGGAGCCTGTTTCCGATCTGTGTCTCCCTCTTTCTCTGACCCTCCCCTGTTCATGCTCTGTCTCTCTCTGTCTCAAAAATAAATAAACGTTAAAAAAAAAAATTATACAAATCCCAGCCCCTGTAGGTTAGTCTCCCAGTGTGAAGGGCCCCAGATAGCCCCCATGAACTTTCTCCTGCCCCAGGAGGTGTGGGAGCAGCAGAATAACATTTTGTACCCAAGGACAACAAAGTTAGCTGAAAACAAGCCAGACCTGAAGAGCTTCATGGTTGGAAAAGAGGCAAATGTCGAGTGACCTTGATGGAGCAGTGACTGAAGACCAGAGGTGATAAGGACCTGGCCTCTGATGCCAGCATGGATAGGTGAAGATCAGACCATATGCTCCCCCCTTCCTACCCTTAGTACTACAGAAATCCCTGGAATTTAGATGTAAATCATTGCAAAAAGGGGAGAGAGAAGGGGACCCCAATTGTTTTCACCACTTGGCAGAATGGAGTCTCTTAATAGAGATTAAGTTGCCTCATACAGTTGAGTTTCTAGGCCAGTATTTGTACTTGCTATAGTATTTTCTTAGTTTTAAAAGAAAATATATTGAAGACATATCATAATTTTGGAAATTCTTTACTGTTGCTTGTTCCATCAAGCACATTTATTTAAGAAGGAGATACAGACTTAATTGACAGAAAGTGAGAGAGAGAGAGAATGGCGGTGGAGGGACTTCAGGGCTATAACTATAGTTATAGAAAACTATAGTTCTCCTTTTGAAGTTCTATGAAACTCCAGCTTATGCATTATTTAAATGGCTAAACTAAATAGGTACAACTCACTCTTGGAGCATATTTGTTCCACCATACCGTAAACATAATAGTTGTTCCTTAAATGCTGTTGAATGAATAAGAAATGATGTGCCTCAATTTCTAGTGCAATAGTTCTCAACTTTTGCAGAAACGGAGCACATGTAACCCGCCCTAATTTTTGTGGCACACTATGAAATATAGGCATATGGAATTTCATCATCTAAAGTAGGAGTAATTATACTAGCAGAAATATGATTGTAATAATGGTCTGCCATATAAAACTCACAGCCACTTTAATGGTTGGCTTATCAATCTCTCCTTGTAGCTCTAGCAAATTTTCCTTTACGTATTTTAGGCTTTAATTTTAAAGGAATACAAGATTTGAATTGTCATACTTTCCTGGTAAATTTAACTTTTTATCATTAAGTTGTGGTCCTTTTTATCTGCAGTGATGTTTTTGCCTTAAAGTCTTTTCCCTCTAAAGGAACAGGGCAATACCTGCTCTCATTTGGTCTGCATTTTCCTAGTTTATCTTTTTTTAACCCTTTACTCTGAGTTCAGAGTATTTTATTTATTTCAGAGTTCTGTGTGTTTTATGTATGTTCCCTGTAAAGTTCGATATGTTATTTTTCTCCTTAAAAAACAAAGTTAATACTTTTATTCTTTTAGCTAGAGAGTTTGGATCCATTTCCACTTATCATGACAACTGATATGTTTTAAATTTTATGTTGAAGTAATTGTAGATTCAAAGGAAGTTGCAAAGAAACTACTATACATATTTAAATTTTTTATTTCTGTCTCTTTATTTTATGCTTTCTGTTCGTCTTCCTTCTGAACGCTTTTGAAAGTCAACATTTACATTACTTACTTTCCATGACTATCCTACATCAACCATTTTTTATGTTTCTGAGTTACTTACTAAGGTATTCATAACACCATCATTGTTATTAATTACTTGGAGTGGCGATTATTTTGTCAGGTTTCAAGATTGCCAAGTTTCCTTTCTTAGCTTATTTTGGCACTGGGCGTCTCTTGGGACCACGAGGCAGGTTATTCACTGCTATGGGAAGCACTAAAGTCAAGTTGACAAGGAATTGACCCAGCCCTCAAGTACACATAGCTTGCCATGGAGAAGTTGTGCTCTGGGAGAAAATGATTGAATTTCATAACATTATTCAACGTGGCCGCTAGGGGGAGATCACATGTAGCTATTCTCAAAAGAGTACCTATTGAAGGTCTCCAATTTTTACTAAAAACCTGTCAACAGTACACTAAGGAGAAACTAAGAGGGAAAAAACCCTCCCTACTTTTAATTTTTTTTTCAACGTTTATTTATTTTTGGGACAGAGAGAGACAGAGCATGAACGGGGGAGGGGCAGAGAGAGAGGGAGACACAGAATCGGAAACAGGCTCCAGGCTCTGAGCCATCAGCCCAGAGCCCGACGCGGGGCTCGAACTCACGGACCGCGAGATCGTGACCTGGCTGAAGCCGGACGCTTAACCGACTGCGCCACCCAGGCGCCCCCCCCCCACTTTTAAAAAGGCATGCAAGTGAAGTCTCAAAATAGTCGGCAAAAATAATGAAGTCAAAGCAGTGACTGTCATACGGGAAAAGAAAGCAAGACCCAAGTACGTGCACGCCAGAAGAAACGCACTGTGCACACAGGATACAAATAGGTTAAAAAATAAAAAGAGGAAAAGGTGTAACAGAGAGAGTGTTATCAGGAATGAAAAAGATCATTTTATAAGGAGAAAGGGGTTGGTGTCTCAAGAGGACATAACAATTCTGTATGTTTAAACACAGAGCTTGAAGATACATCAAACAAAAATTGATATAATTGCAAGGAGAAATAGATAAATCCACAATTAGGGTTTGGGAATCCAACATCTCTGTATTCATTTCCTAGGGCTGCTGTAACAAATTTCCACAAACTGGGTGTTTTAACACAGCAGATCTTTATTCTCTCACAGTTCTGGGAGCTAAAAATCCAATATTAAGGTTTAGCAGAATAAAAGGTCAGTGTACAAAAATTAACTGTATTTCTTTTTTTTTTTAATTTTTAAGTATTTATTTCTGAGAGGAAGAGAGAGACAAAGAGACAGAGAGAGACAGAGTATGAGCAGGTGAGAGGCAGAGAGGGGAGAGGCAGAGAGAGAGACAGGGAGATACAGAATCCCAAGCAGGCTCCAGGCTCCGAGCTGTCATCACAGAGCCCGAGCCAGGGCTCCAACCCACAAACCCGGGGACCATGACCTAAGCCGAAGTCGGATGCTCAACCGACTGAGCCACCCAGGCGCCCCAACTGGATTTCTCTCTACTGGCAAAAAACACCTGGAAATTGAATTAAGAAATAACATTTACAATAGCATCAAATTTTTACTAAATTTACAAAAACATGAAATATTTAGGAATAAATTTGACAAAATAGGACCAATACAACGCTGATCAAAGTCTGCGCAAGCTCTTTGGGGGGCAGAAATTGACAAACTGATTCTACACTTTACGTGGAAATGCAAAGAACATAGGATGCTAGCCGACTCTCCTGGTAAGGAAAAGATCTCTTTATCCTAATCTTCCGGAAGACGCTGTGTAGACAGGTACACGGTAGTTTTTGTGTTGAGGAAACAGAGACAGCTAGGGGAGGCGGTAGAAAGGGTTTCTGTCTCGGGACCCGCTGCCTGACTCTCCGTCAAGCTTGACTGTTATTTTTCTGATTTATCCAAGGGGAGCGCAGTGCTTTGTCTTAATACAGAAAGAACGTAGCTACCTGCAGATTAATTCCTTTCTTGCAGGTACCCTCTCCTGCCAGGCCCATTCTTAGGGCTGAGAGAACCCCGACCTCCGTGCGTCGGCAGGCGCCCCAGGCGCAGTCCCCCACCCGGGCCACCGACCCCGCTGCGCCACCGCTGCGCCCTGCGGCGCCTCCGGGGGTAGCTCGGGCCCTGCGGCGGCAGACACACCCCGGGGCGCGGCGGGGGTCGGTCTCCTCCGCTCAGCCCCGCGCCGCCCGCGTTCGAGGGCTCTTCCCTCGGCTTCCGGAGACGCGCCGCGGGGAGGGCCTGCCGCGTGCCGGGACACAAGTCTCCGGGGACAGCGGCCCAGGCTGCGCGGCTGCGGTGGCGCAGACGAGGGCCCTGGCCTCGGGGCGGCGGCGGTCGAGGGCAGGCCGGCAAGGGCGCCGGCTCTGATCAGAGCCCTCTGCATTCTCGGTGCCCCCTTCTCAAGCCGCAGCACCCCCAAACCGCCGCCGCGGCAACCCCGAAAGCGGGGCGCGGCCTCGCGCGGGTCCTCCCGGCCGCTGGGTGGGACCGGGCGCGCCGCCTTCCCGCCGGGGACGGTCGCCCTCCGGCTCCGCGGGGAGAGACGACGTCCCGGGCGAGCCCTCCCGGCGCCTCACCCGCCCCAGAGGCGCCTTCGTTCGCTTTGTGAGTCCGCCGCGCCGAAGGCCTCACGCCTCCCGCAGACTGAGTTCAGCGACCGCTTCGCCCTCGGCCTGGGTGGGCGCGTTCGGTTCTCCCCGCCGAGCTGAGGTAGGCGCCCTTTCCTCCCTCCGGAGAGCGACTCTCTGGGCTGCGCGGAGGCCCGTCCGACCTCCCCCCGGCTGGGGCGGGACTGGGACCAGTTACCCCCCCCCACCCCCACCCCGGGGCCTGCGCTCAGCCTTCGAGGGGGTGCAGCCGTTTAAAGCCCCACCGTTCGCCTGGGTGGCTCAGTCGGTTCAGACTCAGATCAGGACCTCACGGTGCGTGGGTTCGAGCCCCGCAGTGGAGATTCAGTGTCTCCCTCTCGCTCTCTGCTCCTCCCCCACGCTCGCTCGCTCGCGCTCTCCCTCAAAAAATAAACGTTAAAAGTGAAAAGCAAAACAAACAGCCGCACCATTCCTACCTCTGCGTGAGTTTGGTTCATTCAGCAAAGTTTCGTCCTCGCTCCCTGCCTCCTTCCTGTCTCTTTTTTTAACCACCGCGTACTGTGCTTAACAAGAAGGAAACAAAAATGGCTAAGCCCCTGACCCTGCCTTCAGGGAGCCTACAGTGTAACTCAATGTATCTCCTTTGAAGGATGTCTGCGTTTCAGGGCTCCTGTGTCACTGCGAACTGAAAGGCTCCTTTATCTCCCCACCCACCCTTCCATTCGAGAATTGACCTCCTTCTTGGTTTGTGGGACTTCCAGGCGTTACTTTCTTGCTTGGAGGCCTTTAGGACGTCTCCCTGCTTCCTACAGAATAAAGGCCTAATGCCTTGGCTCCTGGCAGGTGTTCAAAGCCCTCTCACCCCTCCCTGATCTCCAGCCCCATGTAGCTTGCACATGAACTGCCGCGTGGACCCCTGATTTCTTGCATCAAACTATTCGTCCGCTTGAATTCTTTTCCTTCCTTCCTAGCCACCCAATTTGACCTAATTCCTCCTTCTCAACGAAGCGTCCTAAACTGCCTGTTAGAATTGGTCTCTCCCTGCTCGGTTTCCCCGTCGCCTTTTTGGTCTACTCTGATGTCTACTGCAGTGCTGTTAAGTCACCTGTCTGACCCCAGGCTCCGGTGCGAGGCCCTGGAGGACAGTGGCCACATCTTTGCTGCGCTCAAGCAGATCTTGTAAGAACGCTTGCTACTTACCGAAGTGACATTGCAGGAATGCACTAAGTCTGCAAATCGGCACAATCTAGGAAACCAGGTTGTCTCCAGCTGTGTCTCCCCACCACCGGGATCATAAAATGGGCACTTTGCAATTCCCCACTCAATCCGATCCGTGCGTGAAGCCTATCTGCATCAGTTAAGCCCACAAAATACTCTTTGAGGGCCCCAGCTAGGACACGGGATCTGTCTACACCAGCCACGTGAACTGGTCAAGAAGAGAACAGACATGTGGCCCTTGGCGTTTGCTGGGACCAAGCCGAAGCCACTACAGTTGGCTCTCTCTCTCCTTACCCTGCAAGAGGTAACGGAAAACAATCTATTTAAGTTTCTGGTTGTAGAATGCTCAGTGATCCGCAGCATTAATCTTTATTAACGTATAGAAACCAGCTTTTCTAATTGTGTAACACTTGGTCATTACAAAGGTCTCTCACTTTATTACATTTCGTGTCATGCTCACAAATTACTCCACGAGGCAAGTTATTATCTTTGTTTTATGCAGATGTAAACCAAAGCCGTGATGGCGAGTAGCTTTGCCCAAGCTTTGCACACAACTGGAAGGCAGCAGGCCTCCTAATTCCTTATTTCATGCCCTCTCCCGTGCTGGGGGCAACGTAGATATTCCTACAAAGTACTGCGCATGCAGCAATCAAAATATACACAAAGCTACTCGACCTATTATTCAGGTGATTTTTCAGGTGAAGAAAGGAAAGAAGCACAGGACTTGGAGATTCTGTTGTAACTAAGTTGTTTTTCTTTTGCGTAGTTTGAAATATCTGTCAAAATGTTTCAGAGTTCCTTGGGGCGCCTGGGTGGCTCAGTCGGGTGAGCATCCAGCTCTTGATTTGGGTTCAGGTCATGATCCAGGGTTGTGAGATTGAGCCCCGTGTGGAGCCTGCTTGAGATTCCCTCTCTTTCTCTCTCTCTCTCTCTGCCCCTCTCCCCTGCTTGCACACACTTTCTTTCTCTCTCAAATAAAAAAAAATTTGCATATTTATATAAATATAAATTTGAGTTCCATTTTAAAAGTGATGAATATAATTTAGAAGCAATAGCTCACCCAAATCCTAACTACCAAGTGTCACTTTTGAAGTCAGTTCCTGGAAACAACTCTCTCTAGACTTACGGAACAATGCCATATGTATAAACTCAGCCATATGAAAATGATGATATTTGACTGTTTTTGGCCTACAAAACTGCAGTTTCATGTGGTTTCACCTAATGGACATATCAGTTTTTTTAGTATACACTCTTGACCAGGTTTTTCCCCCCCCCCTGCATATTTATTTCTCTTGGGGGGGGTAGGGTGGAGATTTCACTCTGACCTGTCCTAAGAAAATTTTTTTTGTGAAAGGAACCCTCAGTAATATAAGAAGTCTTTTCTTTTTTCAATTTTTTTTAAACGTTTATTTATTTTTGAGACAGAGAGAGACGGAGCATGAACAGGGGAGGGTCAGAGAGAGAGGGAGACACAGAATCTGAAACAGGCTCCAGGCTCTGAGCCATCAGCCCAGAGCCCGACGCGGGGCTCGAACTCACGGACCGTGAGATCATGACCTGAGCCGAAGTCAGATGCTTAACCGACTGAGCCACCCAGGAGCCCCGAAAAGCCTTTTCATTTTGTGCCTCTCCTTTCCAAGAGGCGCATGTACCGTCCTTCATGCTTGTTACAGGTGGTTACAGGCACGTGCAGCCAGCACAGAGCTCATACTCGATCCTTAACATATTAATTGAACTGTCTTCCAGCTGAAGTTCGTTTATGTTTTATAACCTGAAAACAAATGAAACTAAGGGATCATGAAATCTCTTCCATCTTCCACTCTTCCTGCCCCCTCATCATGCACACACATCATAGTTTCCTCTGGTTTCGCTGATGTCTGGTGGTTATCAACGCAGCTTCCTTTCAGGGGATCCTTTGAACAGAAGCAATAAAATAAATTGCCCAGATGAATTCACCGTGTTGTGCTTTTCTCTCTAAGCAGCCAAGTGCAAGTTAGTAAAAACAATTGTTCAACCCCATAAATAGTTTTAATAATGACTAAGCCCCCCCAAAACCAAAAAAGTGTCCTCCTGCATGTGACGATACAGTTTAGTATTTGAATTGTGTCTTGGCAACTCGAGGACATTGCTTCCCCTCCTTATCTGTGAAATCTGAATATCTGTGAAGCACCTCATGGTAGTGTGTGTGTGTGTGTGTGTGTGTGTGTGTGTGCGCGCGTGTGTGCGTGTGTATAATTAATACGTGTAAAATACAGGTTTTGGGTAAAGGTTAGTGTCTTCTTGCCTCTTTCCTTCTATGTCTCTCTTATGTGTGGCTAATTCTACCCATATCTTGCTCAGTGTGTGTGTAGTCTCCAAGTTAAAAGCTTGATAGCGAGAAATGCTTTCATTACACAAGTAAGATAGGACGGGTATGTATTATCCTTATTTTTTCTGATGGGGAAGCTGCGAACAGAGATGGTAAATAATTTGCATAAGGAGAAAATAGAAAAATATATAAAACACTAGCCCTGTTCAGACATGCGGTAACAGTAACAAATGCACCAAATATCTACTACTGATTCGATTACATAGTATCTGGTGAGTTCTAGAAGCCAAATACAAACAATGTGCCTGGATGGTACAGTTACCCACTTCACAGGCCTCGTGGTTAAGATGTTTCAACCACGACCAAATGACTGACTAATAGGAAATGCAACAAACCTGAAGTCTATTTTATTCAACAGTGGAGGGGCACCTGGGTGGCTCAGTTGGTTACTGTCCGACTTTGGCTGAGATCATGGTCTCGTGGTTCATGTGTTTGCGCCCCGCGTTGGGCTCTGTGCTGACAGCTCCAAGCCTGGAGCCTGCTTTGGATTCTGTGTCTCCCTCTCTCTGGTCCTCCCCGGCTCATGCTCTGTCTCCCTCTGTCTCTCAATAATAAATAAAGGTTAAAACAATTTTTTAAATAAAATAAAAACACTGGAAAAAGGAATAGCAGAAGGGAAGAAGGAACTAATATTTGGGTTGAACACCTCCTATGCACCATAAGGTGTGCCAAATTACACATTACATCTTTTAAATTTCATAATTCTGTGAGGTGGGCACCTCCATTCTATAGTTAACAAAGCTGAGGCTCAGAGAGGTTAAATAACTGCCCCCAAATAATTCAGTCAGTAAGTAGAATTAGTTTCAAGTTCATATCTTGGCACTCTTATACGTTGTTGGGGAAGGCACTTTTGTCAAGAAGGTTAAATATTTTCTTTGATTCAATTACTCTACTAATGTAAAGTTATTTTAAGAAGATAATTGAGAATACAGAGAAAAGCTGGTTGTGTAAAATGCCTCATTAGAGAGTCATTCATAATAGACAGAACTTGGAATGACTCTAACAACCAACATTCGGGAAGTGGCTAAATAAACAGTAAAGTGGGGAACTTTCACTTGATGGAATATTACACAGGCAGTAAAATAGCCCTCCCCCCGAAGTTTGTAATCACATGAGAAATGTTCATATAATAAGGTTAAGTGAAAAGAACAAGATATTAGGATCTATCTATCTGCATAAAACTATATAATAATAACCTCAACTGTTAATAATACACACAGAAAAAGAACAGGAATGCTAACACCAAAATGTTAGCAGCGATGATCTTTGGGCAGTATAATTATATTAATTACTTTTCTCCTTTTACTTTTAATTAAATTGGTTCTTATTTTTAAAGCATTAACATTTTTTCTGTAAGGATTGCAAATTGTGTCTGGGCCCGGCTGAGAGAAAGAGCTTCCAAAATGGTATAGAGCATAAAGGGCTAGGACCTGTCTCTGTAGTTTCCTGCTGACATTCTCAGAAGGTACTCAGATCATTAAAGACTCAAAGTAGGTCCTCCTGGCTCTCATGCCAGGCAAGATGACCAAGCTCCTGAGGGGAGGAGAAGTGGTGGGGGAGGGGGGTGGTTTGGAAACCTGGCAAGGATTTAATGTTGATCCAGTAAAAAAAAAAAAAAAAAAAAACAAGCCAACGAGACCAGTCAGGAGCTGAAGTCACACTCAAGCACTTAGGGTATATTGCCTCACTCTGCTTGAAAAGTGTATTTCTCAGACTCTAAAAGGGCCAAAGCTCCTTGACTGTGCTGGAGGCGGGTGGGTTCCATGAAGGAGGGTGGAGAGAAATTCTTTCACATTTTCACCTAGCCCTGCTGTGTCCGTCCCCTCCTCTCTACGCCACCACTTGTCAGCTCTCACCTAGGTTATGTCAATAACTCCCAGCTATTTGCCTGCCTCTGGCCTGGCTCTTTGCTAGGCCAGTGACTTCGCTGCAGCCAAAGCCATCTTTCTGTGACATCAACCTGATTTTGCTTCTCCGCTGCTCCTCCTTCTGTGGTGCTCCCCAGCTTTGGGGGTAAGAAGCAGTTCCTTACCTGCTTCTGTTCCTGCGGCTGCTACTTAAGGTCTCTGTCAACCTGATCCCACCCACCTCTCTGGCCTCGTTTCTCTCCAGTCTCTCTCCACGCCTCCCTGCATCTTCCACCGCAGCCCTACGGATTCACCTGCAAACCCCTGCAACGCTTTCTCTCACTTTCTTCTTCAGCTGTTACCTGATGTGACTTCTGTCCAACTCCCTACCGCCTGCTCACTCCCATTTGCAGACACACACACACACACACACACACACACACACACACACACACACACACTTTTTGCCCAGTCAACTGCTGAACTGCTGTTCCTCCTTCAAAATTCACCCCAACATTGTCTTTTCTGGGTAACCTTCCCTGACACACATTCTTCACCCCAACCCTTCATCCTGATTCAAGTGGCTGGTATTAGGGTCCTACTAAGCTTCTGTACTCTGCTCTCAGCACTAATCATGATATACTCAGCTGTCTCCAACTAGACCAACATTCTTTTTTTTTTAATTTTTTCAATGTTTATGTATTTTTTGAGAGAGAGAGAGAGAGAGAGAGAGAGAGCGAGTTGGGGAGGGCTAGAGAGAGAGGGAGACACAGAATCTGAAGCAGGCTCCAGCCTCTGAGCTGTCAGCACAGAGCCCAACATGGGACTTGAACTCACGAACTGTTAAGATCATGACCTGAACCCAAGTCGGATGCTTAACCAACTGAGCCACCTAAATGCCCCTAGACCAACATTCTTGATAGCAGAGACCATGTCTTAATGACCTTTAGATCCCCAATGTTTGCAAAGCATTCAGTTCTCAATAAATTTTTATTGAATTTCTGAATTATTTAAATAGGATCTGGAAGAAGGAGAGTTTGAGGTAATACCATTTCTATGCTGGAAACAAATCCCAATACCGTCTATGATCAACAATGCCAGCCTTTCTTCTTTGCTTATCACCATATCTTATTTTTGTTCCTATAGATTCTTTTTTTTTTTTTTAATTTTTTTTCAACATTTATTTATTTTTGGGACAGAGAGAGACAGAGCATGAACGGGCGAGGGGCAGAGAGAGAGGGAGACACAGAATCGGAAACAGGCTCCAGGCTCTGAGCCATCAGCCCAGAGCCCGATGCGGGGCTCGAACTCACGGACCGTGAGATCGTGACCTGGTTGAAGTCGGACGCTTAACCGACTGCGCCACCCAGGCGCCCCGTTCCTATAGATTCTTTAATGCTTACAGAGATGTGCTTCTCATGGTGTTATCGCAATTTCTGAGGAGATAGATCAGTCCCAAGGAGCATCAACAGCCCCTGCACAGGTATGTCACCTGGCATAGGGCCTTTGACGAGGACAAGTCATTTAGTCCACACAGAACCGGAGCACAGGTAGGGTGGACTGAGGGTTGTGTAGTGGGAGGAACACTGGAGGCTGGTTCAGCTGGGAAAGCATCAGAGGAATTAGGAATGCTTCCCTGTTGTCAGGTTTTCTTTCTGTCTTCTGCAGTCCCATTTCTACCGTAGGAAAACACAAAGCCCAATCCTGCCATATAAGCAAGCAGGATTATAATCAGTCCTGCCTTTCTCTCTCTCTCTCTCTCTCTCTCTCACCCCTTTTCTTCCCTCACACACATACATATACACACAACATATATATTTATAAAGAAATTGCTCTTTGGTAATCCTGTTTCAAAGTCTTCTGTCCTCATTTTACTTTTTAATTTAAATTACTAGTTCTCTTCCATACCCAGTTGGATAAAATCATAAAATTCAAAACAACACTTTAAAAGCTACAACATAATGTCTGAGCTAAAAGGGGTAAATGTTTTGGGAAGGGACCTGGTTTTTATGTCTGCTGGAATAGAAGTCTGATCTTATGTTTGTATATCAGATATGTCTCAATGTTTCTTCTTTTCCTTTCCCTTATGTTCTTAATTTCTTACAGGCTGAAACTCCAAGACTAGATCATGATAAGTTTCGGCGAGTTCTACACAGCAGCTCAGGACCCCATTCCTTCGGGAATTCCTACCTGGTTTGACCCAGAAGGCAGGGGGCGCTGATGACATCCTCACAGGTCCATATTGACCTCAAAGGAAAAGCCCTCAAAAGGTGGACACTTCTCTCTGCTCTTGGCCTGATGAACAAATCAGTGCATGCCTTTAATCCATGCATGCAAGCAGACTAAAAATGTCCAAGAGCTCATATCAGAATTTATAGGGTTAATTGTTTTACATTTGTCTTGAACGTGCATGATTTTATTGGTTATTTCTTCTCTCTTTCACATTAATAACCTAAATAATACAATTCAAAGGACCAAGACCCTGGGAGTCTATATAGAGGTATCTGTAGTGGAATGTATTTCACATTTTAACCAACCCATTGTTCCTTTTGTTAAAAACAGGTTTTCCTGGGGCGCCTGGGTGGCGCAGTCGGTTAAGCGTCCGACTTCAGCCAGGTCACGATCTCACGGTCCGTGAGTTCGAGCCCCGCGTCGGGCTCTGGGCTGA